CTTCTGCAAGAACAACCAGTGTTCTTAACTGCCAAGCTATCTCTCCAGCCCCAAAGAGGCTACATTTTAAGGCCAAATAGTACTTTAAAAAAAATTTTATTTACATTTTCATTTTATGTGTATGCATGTATTGCCTGCATATAGGTAAGTGCACCTGTGTCATGCAATACCCGTGGAGGACAGAAGAGGCTGTTAGAACCCCTGGAACTTAAGTTACGGACAGTTGTTAGCTGCCATGTGGGTGCTGGGATTCGAACCTGGGTCTTCTGCAAGAACAGCCAGTGTTCTTAACTTCTGAGCCATCTCTCCAGCCCCCAAACAGTACTTTTTTTTTTTTTTTTGGTCTTTTTGAGACAGAGTCTCCCTGTAGCCCCAGCTGTCCTAGAACTTACTATGTAGACCAGGCTGGCCTTGACCTCACAAAGATCCGCCTGCCTCTGCCTCCTGAGTGTTGGAACTAAGGGCGTATGACACCATGCCTGACTGGATATTATTTTTTAACTGAAAGAAAAACTGAAATTTTGCCAGGCATGGTGGTACACACCTTTAGTCCCAGCACTCGGGAGGCAGAGGCAGGCGGATCTCTGTGAGTCCAAGGCCAGCCTGGTCTACATAGTAAGTTCCAGGACAGCTGGGGCTACAGGGACACCCTGTCTCAAAAAGGCCAAACAAAAAGAAAAAAAACAGAACTGAAATTTTGACAAATTATCCATGACACCCTTTCATCCCCTTCCCCATCTTCAAGCATTAACTTACTTAGTTGGGGGTTGGTGGCAGGCATGCCTTCTGAATTCATGTGGAAATCAGAAGACACTTTGCAGGAGCCAGTTCTCTCCTAACACCATGTGGGTTCCAGAACTGAATTCAGGTTGTCAGGCTTGGCACCTAGTGCCTTTATCTGTTGAGCCACCTTACCAGCCCCAAGGAATCTCTTAAAGACATGTTCTTGCTAAGGCAACTCAGACTGGCTTCAAACTCAACAATGCTCCTGTCTTGGCTTCTGAGAGTGCTACAAAGATTATAGGTGTTACCATGCCTGCCTAACACCTGGTCTTATATGAAAGTAAACATTTTCACATGTAACTGTTACATAAAATTACTTACCCGTGTCCGATCTTCAATGCTGTATATCTTTAATTGCATGGGGATGTTGAAGCTATGCAAAAAATTGCCTCCGAATACTAATGTGTCTGTTGGAGTATATACTGCATGAATCCAGCCTGGAAGAAAGAGAATGGGGGCAGAGCTGCTGCAGTCTGGCTCTCAAACCATCTTCAAAAACAAAATGCTACCATTTACTGGAGTGTCAACTATGAGCTAACTCTGTACAAGACAGTTTGCAAATATTCTCTTTTCTAAAAAATTACATATTCTAAGTATCTACTTCATGAAAACAGGAAAAGGCACCATTTACTGCTCAATGTGTGTGTGTTGGGGGAGTAATGGAGAGACTAAACTCAAAAGCTTGTACATGTTCAGTTTCCTTTAAGAAAAGAAAGTAGGGGGCTGGAGAGATGGCTCAGTGGTTAAGAACACTAACTGTTCTTGCAGAAGACCCAGGTTCAAATCCCAGCACCCACATGGCAGCTAACAACTGTCTGTAACTCCAGTTCCAGGGGATCCAACAGTCTGTTCTGTTCTCCTCGGGCACTGCATGACACGGGTGCACTTACCCCTATGCAGGCAATATACACATACACATAAAATAAAAATAAGAAAGGAAGGAAGGAAGGAAGGAAGGAAGGAAGGAAGGAAGGAAGGAAGGAAGGAAGGAAGAGAAAGAAAGAAAGAAAGAAAGAAAAAGGAAAGGAAAAAAAAGGCCAGGTGTATGGTGGCACACACCTTTAATCCCAGAATTTAAGACTCTGAGACAAGCAGAACTCTGTGAATTAGGGCCAGTCTGGTCAACATAGTAAATCAGCCAGGGCTACACAGCGAGATCCTGTCTCAAAAAAAGTACCTAAATGGCTAGAAAGCAACCCAACCTACTTTCCCCACCTTGCTTACCTGAGGGAATGACGAAGGTATAGCCCTGCTTGAGCTCAATGCGTTGGCAATCTGACACCCGGTCACCCAGAAAGATGTCTCCCTGTTTCCCTGACAGCAGCCAATTCTCGTACAGCTCCAGGTTGTGGGCTGTAGGGGGGATGAGCCAGAAGACCTGTGAGTTAAAAAACTTCAGTCTGTTAACAGCCATTGACATGATCCAGTCGTCTCCCTTAATTAATAAGCAGGTACAAGAAAAGTCCATAAGGTAGAAGACAGGCAAGCAAGGAAACTTATCTATCCAGGTAACTGAGGACCCAAGGAAACAGGTCCTGCTTGCCACTCACTTGAACAGATAGCATCAGGACTTCCCTGGGGCAACGGTTGTAAAACCTAGAACCCATCAATGACTCAGGAGAGAAAAAGGGCCTTGGGCTCATTATGTGGGCAGTTCCTTAAAAGCCCTGGCTAGAGGCTTAGGCAGCCCAGCCATTTAGGTGCAAAATCTTTAAGAGATTGGCCTGGGGCTGCTTTGTTCCAAGATAGTAACTAAGACAAAAAGGAAAAAACTTACACAGATGTAAACGAAATGACTTATGGACAAAGACCCTCTATACAAGGCCTTGCATTTTTATTTTTTTTTCACTCTAGTTCTGCATTTGCTCACAAAGCAGTCACTTCTGGTAGAGGGAAAAAGGCTAGCACTATAAATCTCTGCTACTAATTCTAGATCTCAATTGTCACACAGCATTTAGAAAAACTTGAGAAGCTGGACTATAATCCTATTTTATATTATTATTACTGGAATATAATTTTCTTGTGATTGAAGGTAGTTTTTCAAAATATAGCCTCAGAAAGAATTAAAGGTTTCTTTCGGTCATATTTCAGATCAAATGCCTCTAGACAGGGAAAGTTGGTTGAATCCTAATTTGCTGAATTGTCAATATATCCAAAATTTATGTTATTTTCCTCTACACTGTTTCCTCCAAGTAGAGAAACTGGGCTGTGCTCCTAGAATCATCTTTTTGGCCTCATTTGGAAAATTTCACTTTGGAATCTAGAAATAGTACTACTGAGTTTTCCTAAGTACTGGGCAAATACCAGTATAATGACACTAGACTATATAAATATTAAAACTCCAACCAATTAGCCACCAAGGTTAACTTAATTTTCAATTCTCTTCTGATATGAAAGGGCATTTCCCAAGAGATTGATTTCCAGAGCCTAGTATGCATGCATGAACTAAAACAAGTCATGTAACAAGATTCAGATTCTTATCTCCACAACTATGACCATACCTTTCCACCTTGGTGGATGTGGTACCAAACAGAGGTACCACCAAAGTCCACATGGAAGTCAGTATAGCAGCCTCGAACACTCATTAGACAGTACCTGACCCGAAGAAAAGCAGCAGCATTAGTGCACTGATAAACAGTAACTGTCCACCAAAATGCCTCTCTTCAAGACCTCATGGACTTCCTCTACTCTGCATGGAATAAACTCCTAGTTGGTGAAGGAATGCAACTTGGAGTGCTGTTTCCAGGAGGACACTACTTCCTTTACTCATGTGCTAGGCATTCTCATATAGTCTTCCTTTTGGTACTATAGTCTACTATTTATATAATTGATCTTTTTTGATGATTTAGAATACAGCAAGCAGGGTGTGGTGGTACATGCCTTTAATCCCACCATGTGGGAGGCAGAGGCAGGCAGAATTCTGTGAGACTGAAACCAGCCTGACCCACATAGTGATTTCCAGGCTAGCTGGAGCTATAGGAAGACCCTGACTCAAAAAGACCAAAAAGAAAAAGGGTAAAAAACAAAAAAAAACAAAAAAACCCAACAACAACAAAAAACCAAAACAAGAAAGAACACAGCAAAGCCTGAATAGGCTGACTATTTTTGTTATCCCCTTCAACCCCTGTAGCACCTGAGAAATACAGAGTAGGTCACTTACTTTTGTACTTTAGGATACTGCATCTCCAAGATGGCATTTGTTGACTCAGTCTGACTTTCTTTCAAATGTCTTGGCCACATGTTATCTACCCAGTCAATGAAATCCACCTTTAAAAAGGAGGAAGAGACTCTTAGGCTCCAAGGGAAGGAATGGGGTTAAAGAGAATTTTAAAGGCAGGAAAAAATAATTCCTTTAACACACACCAAATGACAACTTAATCATAAACAAAACCTGTGGCCTTACTGTGAGAACGCAAACATTCTGGAAAGAGACGAAAAACAAGACCACGCCTGTATGACAATGGTCAAAACTGAAGCTTCCAATGGAGAACTCTCCTGTCAGTACTGGTGTAGTATTGTTTTGATTCATAAAAGGCACTTTCTGGAAGATGCCTGTTATAACAGCCAAAATATCAAAATATTCAGCCTAGCAAGATGGCTCAGCAAACAAAGGCACTTGCCACAGAGCATGACTACCGGGGTCCAAGCCCAGGATACAATCAAGTTGTCCTCTGACCTCCACATTTGTGCTGTGGCACAACCATCATGTATACATATGCACATAAAAACACAAACACAAATATATGCACAAAATAAAGTAAATTTAAAGTAAAAATAAATATCAAAAGAAAAGAAATTCAGTATGAATTTATAGCTCCACAAGGGCAACTTGCTGTATATGCTACTGGGTTAGGAATCAGAAGGTTCTAACTGTCAAAGTTTTGAGATCATGAGAGGCTCTAAAACTCGTCTATAAAATTACTTCGAAAGTGTGAGGGTTAGACATAAATGCATGCTGAAATGCTGTGATCTGATTTTAGGAATCACTTTAAATAGTATTTACTAAAGATGAGATAAGCAGCATGAACTAGACTGTATCTTCAAATGTGCGGCCAAATACTAAACTGCAGAAATGCCACAGATACTTAAGCATGAGAGCTACACCACCACAAAGTCAGTGTTGATACTCCAAGTATTTACTTTAGCTGTAGAAAACGCTCTCCTCTCCCCCTCCCACCCCGCCTTGGTCTTTTTCAGACACGGTCTTCCTGTAGCCCCAGCTGACCAGGAACTCACTAAGTAGTCCAGGCTGCAGGCTGGCCTTGAACTCAGTGAGATCCACCTGTCTCTGCCTCCCAAGTGCTGGGATTAAAGGCCATGTGGGTGTTGGAAATCAAAGCCAGGTCCTCTGCAAGGGCAGCCAGTACTCCTACCCGCTGAGCCAATATGAGCCAATAGTTTTTAACTAAGCACTAAAAGATGCCTTCTCATCTCTTCTAAACAGAACCTACCTTTTCTTTTTTTTAATATTTATTTTTTTAATTTTATGTGTATGTGTATAATGCCTGTGTGTAGGTAAGTGCACCCATGTCGTGCAGTGCCGGTGGAGGACAGAAGAGGCTGTTGGATCCCCTGGGACTGGAGTTTGGACAGTTGTTAGCTTCCATGTAGGTGCTGGGATTCAAACCCAGGTCTTCTACAAGAACAACCAGTGTTCTTAACAGCTGAGCTATCTCTCCAGCTTCATAAGTACTTTTTAAAAAATTTTTTATTGCCTGGTGTGGTGGCACAAGCCTTTAATCCCAGTACTCAGGAGGCAGAGATGAGCGGATCTCTGTGAGTTCAAGGCCAGCCTGGTCCACATAGTGAGTTCCAGGACAGCTGGGGCTACAGGGAAACCCTGTCTCAAAAAGACCAAAAAGAAAATTTTTTTTATTTATTATTTTTATTTTATGTGTATGCATGTATTGCCTGCATGAAGGAAAGAGCACCCGTGTTGTGCAATGCCTGGGGAGGTCAGGAAGAGGCGGCAAGATCCCATGGGCCGGGAGTTACAGATGGTTGTTAGCTGCCATGTGGATGCTGGGATTCGAACCCAGGACTTCTGCAAGAACAAAAAGTGTTCTTAACCGCTGAGCCATCTCTCCAGCCCCCATAAATACTTTTATAGCTATATTCTTGCCTACTATTTTAGTTTTCCTCTCTTTGCTCCTTCCAAAGAGCTTGCCCTTACTCTCTTGCAGTTTAGATTAGGGGGTGCTTCCACTATATTCTGCATTCATAGACTTTTTTTTTCTTTCAGGGCTGGAGATTGAACCCGGGGCCTCATACATCCTAAAAATGCCAGAGCAGAGCTGCACCCTTAGCCCCTTTATTTACTTTACTAGCTCGATTCATATTAGTTTATAAAAAAGACTATTTCCTTATTTTTTCTTTCCTACAATTGCTAAGGACAATAATCAGCCTACCAGCACGTAGCAAAGTGCTTAGCATTGTTAAGGTAGGTACCGGAAGGTAGTAATGAATACAAAGAGCAAAAGCTAACATAGGTCTGGGCTTAGGAATACCAGTTAACAAATGCTCTATATTAGAGCCAAATGGCTCAGTGGTTAAAAAGCAAGTACTGTTCTATCAAAGGAACTGAGTTTGGTTCCCAGCACCCACGTCAGGTGGCTCACAACTGCCTGGAACTTCAGCTCCTGTGGGGAATCTGATGCCTCTGGCTTCCACAGGCACCTTATTCATGTGCATATACCAGGCCCACATAGACATAATTAAAAATAAACTTTGAAAATCAAAAAGTAATCTATAGAATGATTGTGATACTTACACGAATAAATAAATTTGTCCAAAACATTGAAATATAAATGTAAATATGCATGTACTTTATTTTAATGTTAACTTGACCTCAATAAAACTTTTTTTTTTTTTTGGTCTTTTTGAGACAGGGTCTCCCTGTAGCCCCAGCTGGCCTCAAACTCAAGAGATCCACCTGCCTCTGCCTCCTGAGTGCTGGGACTAAAAGCATGTGCCACCACACCTGGCAAAACTTTTTTAAAAAATGCAATTATTGAAACATACTACATGGACTGGCAAGATGGCTCAGTGGCTCAGAGCACTCAGGTTCAATTCTCAGCACCCACACAACTGTCTGTAACTCCAGTTCCAGGGGATCTGATGCCCTCTTCTGGCCTCAGTAGGTTCTGCAAAACATGGATGCACTTACATACGTGCAGGCAAAACACTCAGATACATATTTTTGTTTTTTTGAGACAGGGTCTCCTTGTAGGCTGGAGCTTGCTATGTAGACTAGGCTGGACTAGAACTCACAGTGATACACCTGCTGCTGCCTCCCAAGTGCTGGGATTAAAAGTGTGCACCACACCTGGCTAAAATACATTTTTTGATAATTACAAAAAACAAAAAAAACTAGAGAAGTGCAGGATTAAAGGAAGGGATATACTATGACAAAAGTGCCAATGGCAAAACCACACTCCTGCTTACACAGCAAGACCACAAAGCACTTGGGTGTTTTTAGAAGTGCTCTCAGACTTCCAGTGTGGTGGCACACACCTTTAATCCCAGCACTTGGGACGCAGAGGCAGGTGGATCTCTGTGAGTTCAAGGCCAGCCTGGTCTACATAGTGAGTTCCAGGACAGCTGGGGCCATAGGGAGACAAGAAAATACATGGACTCTTCAGACTCACAGTTATCCTCCCCTTTGTCTATACATACCAGTAATATATTAGCAATAATAATGCAGATTAGGCGTTATGTACATATATAAAGATATTACAAATAATTATCATGTATCAGTTTTGGGAAAGTCAAGATTTCAATGAAAACAGGATAAAACACTGACATCTTGACTAAACACACCAAACTCTGCTATAATAGGTAGAATGCCTGACTCAAATTTGTTTGGTGACACGGTTCACACAGCTAAACACAGCTTGAACTTCTAATCCTCCTGCCTCCAACTCCTCAATGCTAGGATTACAAGCATGCACTGTTATGCCCAGGTGTTTCTGTTTTATTGTTGCAAAGGCCTTGTCCATGCTACTTAAGTGCTCTCCCTGAGCTACAATCCCCTCACTCCCACCACCCACTGGTCTTGAACTTGTGGCCTTGAGTGTCACGTCCTTCCTGCCTTAGTCTCCCAGGTAGCTCAAATACCATACCTGGCTTGAATTCAGTCAGGAATTGGGTGGTGGGGGGTGGTATGGGAATAAAAACATAGGTACATTTCAAAAGTAAAACCAATTCCAGTGGCTAAAAGAAAATTTCCCAGTATTGAATAGACAGCCACTACTTTGCCAAGAGATAGGTAGAATGTGCATTGAGGAGAACAAAGTATGAAAAGCAAATGAAACCAGCTTACTAATTTACCACTGCTAGTTACCCAGCAGTAAATCCTACTCAAGCAACTCATCCCCTAAAATGCTTACTTAGACTGGGTGGGGTGGGGGTTGGAAAAAGTTAAAAATAGTTTTAAAAAAAAATTAAGTACTTTTAAAAATGAAAGTATTACCAAATACTTTTTCACATTCAATTTAATCTTGGCATCTGTAGAGTTGTAAATTCTCCCAGCATAAAATTAATCTTGGGGGCTGGAAAGATGGCTATGTGTTTAAAAGCACTGGCTACTCTACAGAGGACTTGGGTTCAGTTCCCAGCACCCATATGGCAGCTAACAACTGTTCTAATTTCAGTTCCAGGGGATCTGATGCTGTCTTCTGCTTTGCAGGCATTACGTGACATGTGTGCCACTTACATGCAGGTAAAACGTTCATACACATAAAATAAAATAATCTTAAAAAAAAAAAAAAAATCAACGCTGCTGGACAGTGACAATCTAGAGACAATGAATAGGCTCACCGTGGAAGGCCTCTGCACCATGTTCTCCAGCCGGGTGTGGCTGAATTCTAGGCTGATGACATTATAGAGCTTCTCTCGTTCCTCCTCTGGAGTCTCATAGTAGCGTGTCCATTGAGCCATGGTCATTTCAATGCCTTTTTGTGTGTTCACATCCATGACATCTACCATCCGACGACTCCCTGGCATGAAAGAAGCAGTAAGAGTACTGATTAAGCCAGGCATGGTGGCGCATGCCTTTAATCCTAGCACTTGGGAGGCAGAGGCAGGTGGATCTCTGTGAGTTCTAGGCAGCTGGAGCTACAGGGAAACCCTGTCTCAAAAAGACCCCCCCCCCCAAAAAAAGAGTACTGATTAAGAGTGCAACTGAGCCATAACACTCTTAAGTATATTAAGAATATTAAACATGCCAAGTGTGGTGGCACACACCTTTAATCCCAGCACTCGGGAAGCAGAGGTAGATCTCTGTGAGTTCAAGGCCAGCCTGGTCATAGTGAGCTCCAGGCCAGCTGGGGCTTACAGGGAGACCCTGTCTCAAAAACAGCAACAAAAAAGTATATATATAGTTTACTTTGTCTTGTGTAAAAACTCTCTTCTTATTTAAGATTTTTAATAGACAAGAACAAAGTTTTCACTTGAGGTGGATGATCGTGATCAAGTGAGAGAGGTTGAGAAGGACAGTAGGCATAGTTAAAATAATTACCATACTGGCATGGTGGCACTCCCCTTTAATCCTAGCACTACCCAGGCAGAGGTAGACAGATCTCTGAGATGTAGGCCAGCCTGGTCGACACAGAGTTTCAGGTCAGCTGGGGCTACAGGGAGACCCTGTCTCAAAACAAACCAACCATGACTCCTCATGCCATGCTTGCTACACACTGTCAGGTGCTGAATCTTTTATTCAATACCTCCCTTAATCTTACAGTTCTACATGTTAAGTGTCAATATTTACTTCATACGTGATAAAATAGGACTCAGGTAACTTGCAGGACAGAAGACATACTGAGTATACTATTTTGATATAGGTTTAAAAACTGGTATGTCTCTCAATTAAAAATAGTTTTTATTATTTCATGTGTGTGAGTATTTTGATTACATGTGTGGAAGTGCACCCATGTGGACAATGTGGGTGGAGGCCAGAAAAGGGCATTGGATTCCCTGGATGAGGAGCTACGGACAACTGTTAATTTTGTCTATTCTTCAGTTTAACAGCATTTGTTTTTCCAAACCTATCAATAATTATTTTTAACATAAAACCTTCCTTATATTCACTTCATAAATATTTATAATCTGATAAAAGTTACCATATGGACACAAATCTCTGTATCACCCTACCACAGTGGTACATGCCTTTAGTGCCAGTACTCAGGAGGCAGAGGCAGGCGAATCTCTGTAAGGGAGTTCCAAGCCAGGAGGGGCTACAGGGAGACCCTGTCTCAAAAAAAAAAAAAAAAAAAAAAAAAACAAACCCAAAAAACCAATAAACCCCTCTCCCAAAAGGCTCTGTATCAGATTCTGCATCAACTACAAAAACAAAATACAGAATGTCATAAGAGTTAGCTTAAGTTAGGGGATGAAGAGATGGCTCAGCAGTTAAGAACGCTGTTCTTGCAGAAGACCTGGGTTCAAATCCCAGCACCCACATGGCAGTTAACAACTGTCTGTTAACTACAGTTCCAGGGGATCTGACAGCTTCTTCTGTTTTCCTCGGGCACTGCACGACGCGGGTGCACTTACCTACATGTATTTAATGCATACACATAAAAATAAATAAATAAATAAAAAGAGCTTAAGTTAGCAGAGGGGGAAAACAGTATTTTTTGGTGCCAATTAGACCTCGACTACAAACTACCTGACAAAGTTGTGTAACAGCTGTGACCCTTAATGCCTTTTTATTTTATTTATTTTTAAATTTTATTTTATGTGTATGCATGTATTGCCTGCATACAGGTAAGTGTAGCCGTGTCGTGCGATGCCCGCGCAGGTCAGAAGAGACTGTCAGATCCCCTGAGACTGGAGTTATGGACAGTTGTTAGCTGCCATGTGGGTGCTCGGATTCAAACCCAGGTCTTCTGCAAAAACAACCAGTGTTCTTAACTGCTGAGCCATCTCTCTCCAACCCCTTTATTTATATATTTTTAAAGATTCTCTTTGTGTCTGTTTGCCCTGGGGGTGGGGGGAACATGGGACACACAATACACTGCAGGGTGGGCGCATGCATAGCCCACAGAAGTCAGAAGCAGGACCCAACTCTGGTCTTCAGATGCTCTGGTCGTCACATGTTCTAACTGCTGAGCCATCTGGTCAGTCTATTTTACCACTTCAAATAAATGGGCCTACTGCCACCTAACCTCTAAAATTTCAGCTCATACTTTGTTGAGGGTCCCCTTTTATGTGATGAGTCACTTTACCCTTGATGCTTTCCCTTGTCTAGTTTTTGAAAGGGTTAATTTTTGATGTGTCTTAGTGAGGGTCTTTGAGTTCACTGAGCTTTTCAGCTATATTATTCATGCCTTTCATCAAATCTGGTAAATTTCCAGCCGTTATTCCTGCAAACAGTTTCTCTGTCCCCTTCTCTCCTTGTATTCCCACAATGTATATACTGGTCTGCTTGATGGTGTCCTGCAGGTCTCCTCAGGCTCTGTCTGTTTTGTACTGCCATAACAGAATACCTGAGAGCTATGTAGCCCAGAACTGCCCGGAACTCATGGTCACCCTGCTTCGGTCTCTCTAATGCTGGGACCACACACCCTGTCTGTGCATATTTAAGACAGTTGTTTTAAAGTCTCTTTTCTCTTTGATTTTCTTTCAGGTCTTTTTTTTCTTTTTTGGTATTTTTGAGACAGGGTCTCCCTGGAGCCCCAGCTGTCCTGAAACTCACTATGTAGACCAGGCTGGCCTTGAACTCAAGAGATCCACCTGCCTCTGCCTCCCAAGTGCTGGGATTAAGGCGTGCGACACCACGCCCAGCTCAGGTCTTTTTTAGTAACAGTTTCTGTAGTCTTTTTTCCTTTGGGTTATTATTTCTGGTTTCTTTGTGCGTCTTATGATATTTTTGTATGGTATTTTGTTGAAAGCTGGGTATTTGAATCTAATAATGCAGCTTTTTGGGCGTTTAGTTGTATGGTACATGTGTGAGCAAGCATGTATATGTTCAGGTAAAAGACGCCAGGAGGTTGTATTGGGTACCTTCCATTATTGTTTTCCACATTACTTATTTTGTGTGTTGTGGGGGGGGAGGTAAGGGGGTGGAGGTCAGAAGACAACCAACTTGCAGGAGTCAGTTCTTTCCTTCCACCATGAGGTTGCTTGGTGACAAACACCGTTTACCCACCAAGTCATCTTGCTGGCCCTCTACCTTGTTTTTGAGACAGGGTCTCTCACTGAACCTAGATTTCTATGATTGTAGGCTTTTTTACAAAGTATAAACCTAAGTCTTCTTATGTATTTTTCTGAGCCTGCATTTTTCCCTAAACACAGGTGGTCACTTTCTAATTTTGTCCACATACGCAGTTCTTTTTGAATACCCTGGACTTTAATGCCTGGTTAAAGGAAGGGTACCACCATCATTTTAAATACCATGGGTGTCCTGGGCACGGTGGCAACACACCTTTAATCCCCAGGACACAGGAGGCAAAACTATGAGTATCTCAGTGAGTTCCAGGCAGCCTAGTCTACAAAGCAAGTTCCAGGCTGGCCAAGATTACATAGTGAGAACCTGTGTCAAAAAATAAAAGCCAGGGGGCTGTCAAAATAGCTTAGCAGTACAGAACACTTGTTGTTCTTCCATGGTGGCTAACAACTGTCCATAACTCCAGTTCTAGGGGGTCTCACACCCTCTTCTGGCAGGTCATTGTACACATATGGCACTCTTACACATACAGCAAAACACACATAAAATAAAAATTTAAAAAATAAAAGCCAGGCATGGTGGCACACACCTTTAATGCCAACACTCGGGGTAGAGGCAGGCCAATCTCTGTGAGATTGAAGCCAACTGGGGCTCCAGTCTCAAAAAACAAACAAACAACAAGCCAGGCTTGGTGGTAGAAGCCTTTCATCCCATGGGAACCAGAGGCAAGCAGAGGCTAGCCTGGTCTACATAGCCAATTCCAGGACAACTGGGGCTACAGGGAGATCCTGTCTAACCCACAAAAACAAAAAGCAACAAAAAATAAAAAATTCCATAGGTGCCACTCACTTGGCAAAAGACAAAGAACTTGCAATAGTTGAGGGATGATATAAATGTTTTTTAAAAACTAACTATAGGCATCTTGGTCTGTAGCTGTGATTGGAAATAGCAATCTATGATCATAGCACAAGTCCCCAATACTTGAAGAACAGGACCTTTTCTGTTCATCCTGGCTCTGTGAAGCTGTGTATTACACTTTTAGGAAAACCATGCACAGCTCCTTCTGGTGAAGTCGGCCTGGTGAAAACTGGGGGTTATGAGGAGTGGCTATCACTTTGCTAAAACCTGAAATTAACTGCACTTTACCATCCAAATCTTTCTTTGGAAGTTGAAAGTCTTCAGAATTCAAAACAGTTCCTTCAGGCAAATACTGCCAGTGCCATTATTATGCCGAGGGAGAAAAAAGTTCCTGCCATCTTTCCAGAAGCTTCTCTAGGAGTCTATATTTCAACAAGTTATCACAGATCATTCTCATGCAGGTAATCTGTGAACCAGAGCCATAAAAATTATCTAACCAAAAGAGGAAAGCTATGGTTGTCTACTATTTCATGGATCTAGAGACTAAGAAAGAAATGAGGGGATGAGGATATAGCTCAGTTGGTACCAAGAATGCTTTCCTAGCACACACAAAGCCCTGGGATCCATCCCCAGCCCCACATATACTGGGTGTGGTGGCAAATACCTATAATTGTAGCACTCAGATATGGAGGCAGGAGGATGAGAAGTTCATGGTCATCCTTGGCTATATAGTTTGAGGTTAACCTGGTGTACGCAAGGTTGTCTACAAACAACAAAAGAAAGTGAAAAGATGTACTATGAAGTGTGCACACAGATTTGTGAGGCCTCCTGACAGAGGAGCTCTGCTTGACATGAGTGAGAAAGCACTTCAATCCTTGAACAGATTTATGAGCACTTATTAGACTCCCAGTTTTGTGCTATGTATTAGGAATACATGGTTGACAGGCAAATGCTAGAAATGTGACACCAGAGTGGCAGTAAGAGCAGAACTAATAGGATCAGAGACCTCTGACTTCCACCTCTCAGGTTCAGTTTACTCAGCAGTCTAACAGGTGGCCAATAGGTGGTAATTCCAAAAAGAATGGCTCTAGGGCATACCACAGAATGGTAGCATTAGGAAAAGTCAGAAGAATTCTTTGTTCCATGCCTTGTTTGGAAACATTTCTAAAAGACTTTATACAACTTTACTGCCTTATCATAGTATATCACAGACTTACCAACTAAATCTAGGCTATATGCCTGATGAACCATGAGGCTATTTTTTGTAGCTTCCTTTGAGAAAATTCTGAGATGCTAATAAAATAGTTCCGAATGATGTACTTCAATGTTCCTAAGCCTTAAAGATGCAGACACTACAGGTTGTGGTGATGCATGGCTTTAATCCCAGCACTCTGGAGGCAGAGGCAGGCAGATCACTGTGAGATGGGGCCCAGCCTAGGATGGTCTACATGGCAAGTTCCTGGCCAGCTGAGGCTACATAGTGAGACCTTGCTTCCCAAAAAAACCCAAAAAAAAACAAAAAAAACCAACCCCTATTCCCAAAGATACATAGGCCAAAAGTTTATTACTTACCCACACACATTTTGACATCATTCACGGTGAAGTCCGGATCTGGCATTCTATGAAACAAACACCAGTTAAGTGGGAAATAACTTCTCTAGTAAAAGTTTCTTCTTAAAGTACAGAAAACTTCCCCAGAAATACAAAATCTCAAGTTTAGGTTTAAATACTTTTAATACATAAATGACTGTATATTTATGTAGGGAAAAAATAACCAAATTTTAACAACTGTCTAAAGGTGGTCGCTTTCCAGAGATTCAAAATTCTTTTAAGCTCATCTTTCTTTTTCATTTATGTGTGCATGAATTACTTGTGTAGCAAAAGAGACATATGCTTCTTAAAGTAATGGGGAGGCTACTATTAGTGAGTGAATTACCCACTGCTCCGGGTTCTCAGCACTGCCACTGTCTGAAGCCCTGAATTAGAAGCCATTTTGCAACCACATCCAGCCAGGCCCGGAACACTTACTTTATTCCAAGTCCATCAGAATTCTTGAAAATCAGAGGATCTCTCAAGCCACCCCGCTGGATATACTCTACATTAAAATCTGTCACCATAGGAAAATAATTATTAGAGAGGTATCATTGATAAAAGATAAAAGGATCATAAAAGACTTAAGTGATAAGGTATACATGATGTTTCTCATTCTGTGTATATAGTTGTGGTCAGACAATACATACATGTCTGCTACCAAGAAGCATCTCTTAGGAAAAAAGGATAGCACATTGAAAAGCAGGGCTTGAGGGATTTGCTAAGTTTGAATCTCCACAGGGAATTAAGAATTTCAGTGACAGAGTACTGCTAATGAGTCACTTCATAAATCCTAAGTAGAAATTATCAACACACTATCTCTTGACAGCCAAAACATTAATTCTGACCGATTAGAATACATACTTGACAGCTTGTAAGTTAGCTAAGGATCAAAGTAATCTCAGTTTCAGCCAGCAGAGTACAAGCATAAATGGGGTTTTACTTAGCCCTATGTATACTGGGCTGTCCTTGAACTCATAGAGCTCTGCTTGTCTCTGCCTCTGCTGGGATTAAAGGTGTATGCCACCATGTTTGGCTACAAACAGGTAGTACTTTAAAGCTGCACAGATGCTAAACCCACAGCTCTCAAGAGTCTGACTTCCTAGATGAAGGGGCTTCAGGCATGAACCAATATGATACTGACCTTTTCCCTCCATAAAAGTAACAAAATTGGCATTATATTTGTTGGTGTGGAGTTTCTCTTCCAAGTCAAAAGTTCTTTTCCCTTCAATTTCATCATCTGAGATGCCATCATCTTCATAGCGCCGTCGCATGGTCCCACGCTGTGAAGGAAAGGACACGAGGATGAAATCATGTACTTTCCATGCCTCTCTAATAGTGTTCCCCATATGTACAAAGTGCTACTTTCAATCTCCGTTGTTAGTTCAAGCTTCAACTTTCCTTCCTTTACAATTCTTTTCTTTCTCCCAACTAGGTATCAGCTGAGGGGACTGGAGAGATGGTTCAGCGGTTAAGAGCACTGGCTGCTTTTGTAGAGGACCCAGGTTTGAGTCTCAGCACCCACACGGTGGTTAACAAATGTTCATAACTCCAGTTCTAGGGGAACTTGACACCCTCTCCTGACTTCCATGGGTATTGCGTGATATGGGTGCACTTACATACATGGAGGCAATATACTCACACACATAAAATAAGTAACAAAAGATCAGTTGATATTAGAATGAACAAAATATAACAAAGTTCTAATAAACCACTGGGTTTCCAATCTATGAATTTTACTTTTGCTAACTCTTTAAGCTCAGATATATAAATTCACAATAAAAACATAACCAAGTAAGATCTACTAAATATCTCTAAGTGTCTATTATGGTTTGTCAAAGTGTGGACAAACTTTCTTTATAGACATTTAAATAAAGAGATAAAACATTTTTCATTGAGGAGGAATGTGTCTCTGATTTGTAAGAATAACCTCAAGAATAGCCTACATTAAATACTTTAATAAAGCAAAAGATCTCTTTACCACAGATCAAGGAAGTTAATCTAAACAATAGCATGCTTAATTAGGAGACCATCAATAGTGAGCTTTAAAGATGTCTCGCCAAAGATATACAAATACACAATAAACACACACAAAAAAGCTCAGCATCATTCATCATTAGAGGAACACAAATCAAAACCACAAAACCACCTCATACTCACCAGAATGACTAACATAATGGACAAGCATGCTTAAAAGCAAGTGTGGAAAAATTGACCTGTAAACACGGGCTTTTATTACCTGGCCGCAAGAAAAGTAGTGCTGTAACATGGGTCAACCCTGAAAGCTAAGTAAAAGAATCCAGATATGAGCCCGGTATGGTGGCACATGCCTGTAGTCCCAGTACTTGGGACTGTGAGGCAGGCGGATCTCTGAGTTCAAGGCCAGCCTGGTCTACATAGTGAGTTCCAGGACAGCTGGGGCTACAGGGAGACCCTGCTTCAAAAAGAAAAAAAAAAAAAAAAAAAAAAAAAAAAGAATCCAGATATGGACACAACATAGAATATGACTTCATTCATATGAATGGCTGAAATGGGCAAATCTATATGGTGGGTTAGTTGCTCAGGGTCAGTTAGTTTTGGAAAGGGCGAATGAGAAGTGACTGCTAATGGCATGGGTTTCTTTTGAGGGTAGTGAAATCTTTCTGGAATTAGTGATGTGTTCCCAGAAAGATAAACACAGTCCCAACACTCAAAGAGATGGCTGGCCAGTAGAGGGAGACACACATGAAAATTATGGTATTACAATGAACAGAAATTGTCGTATACAACACAGAACGCCCTTATTCATTCAGTATAACATTAATGATTCCCTATTAGGTTCTGAGGGTAAATGCACAGCTTTGCTGCTTCTTCATGAATGTTCTCCTCCCCTACTGGATTTTTCAGTATCTCCTTATATGTGTGTATAGGATACATAAACACTTCTTCCAAAAAAAGTTACTGAATCTGTTTGCAAAACTTGATCATTTCATTACACCTCATGAAGGACTTTAAAGGAACATTCTATAATACCACAAAATAGTGAGACACACGACTGAATTAGGCCCAAATTTTTTGTTGTTGTTTGGTTTAGTTTTTTGAGACAGGGTGTCCCTATTGCCACAGCTGGCCTGGAACTCACTATGTAGGTGAGGCTGGCCTTGATCTCACAGATTGAGGGCCTCTTGAGTGCAGGGATTAAAGATGTGTGCAGCCATACTTGGCTTAAGCTTTAATTTTTTTCATCAATATAACACTTTTTCTCCCAAATAACAGGCTTGACTAGAAGAAAGAAAAAACACATGTTGAACTGTAGCGTAACTACTTTAATATATTACGAAAAAGGCTTTGCTAAAGGATTGACATGGCTGGAAAAGATGTTTGTTCTCCGTGTTTTAAGACAGGGAGGGGGTCTCATTATATAGTCCTGGTGAGCTTGGAATTCACTATGTAGATCAGGCTGGCCTTTAAGGCACACTAAATGCCTGTACCACCAACCCCAGCCAGGATTACATTTGTTTCATTAAAGTTGCATCAGGTCAGCCTGGAAATATCCTCTGAAACAGTAGATCAACTTTTGCAGACAACACATAAAACACTTTCCATATATGAAAAAATACTATCACAAGCTTTAGTCCCAGCACTCAGGCAGAGGCAGGCAGACCTCTGAGAGATCAAGGTCAGCTGAGGGTACAGGGAGACCCTGTCTCAAAAAGACCAAAAAAGGAGGCTGGAGAGATGGCTCAGTGGTTAAGAGCATTGACTGCTCTTGCAGAGGACCCAGGTTTGACTCCCAGCATCCACATGGTGGCTACGAACCATCCTTAACTCCAGTTCCAGGAGAATCCGAAGCCCTCTTCTGACCTCCATGGCACTGCATGACATGGGTGCACTCACATAAAATAAAAATATTTTTAAAAAAGAAAAAAGAAAAATACTATCACAGTAATTCCAACAAGAACACAGTGTAATAATAAAAGAATAAAAATATTTGAATATGTCAATCCTGCTTGAAATGCTTCTTCTAATTATGTGGTTATTAAATAAACAATTAAAAAATGCTGGGTGTGTTGGCACACACCTTTACTCCCAGCACTCAGGAGACAGAAGCAGGTGGATCTCTGTGAACTCTAGGCCAGCCTGATCTCCACAGCAAATCCAGGCCAGCTGTGGCTACAGGGAGACCCTGCCCCCTAAAAGACCAAAATAAATAAATGAATAAATACAATACAAAATTTTTTAAAGACATCACTACAGATTTTGTAAAGACGCTCATGGGTACCATACCTATTTCTTTGGGGTCTGAGAGAGAACACTGAGAAAGCAGAATGTTCAAGAGAAGAGGAATATATAAAAACTTTCTTAGAACTAGTATCAAATAGTTGATTATCAACAGAATGACCCTAAAATTCACTGAATGGATGTTCTTACCCTAACCACAAATATACCCTCCACAAAACCAAGTGGCTGAAAATGAGTTAAAGTGCTGTGTCTCTTCAACAACATTGGGTGCTTTTCTGCAGAGTACAACTAACTGTTGCTCACTGTGCTTGCAGCAAAGCTAACCATGATGTCACCCCAATTCTACAAAGGGAATACTATAGCTACAAGTAGCAAAATTACCCTCTGAAATTTAGGACAAAAAAAAAGGCACCTCAACATCATCTTGAAAAAGCAATCTGAGGGTCTGGAGCTATGGCTCAGAGGTTAAGGCCTTGCAGAGGAGCCAGGTTTGGTTCTCAGCACCCACATGGCAGCTCACAACCATCACTAACTCCAGTTCCAGGGGATCTGATATCCTCTTCTGACCTCCAAGGGCATTGCACAACATCACTGCACTTACATACAAGCAGGCAAAACACTCACACAACAGAAATAAAAATAATAAATAGAGGCTGGAGAGATGACCCAGCAGTTAAGAGCACTGGCTGCTCTTGCAGAAGACCTGGATTTGAATCTTAGCACCCACAAGGAAACTAACAACTGTTTGAAACTCTGGTTCCAAGGGACTGATGCCCTCTTCTGATCTCCATGGGCACTGCACAACATGGGTGCATTTACACACATGCAGGCAATACACGCATACACTAAAATAAAAATAAAGTATTTTTTTAAAATCAAGAATTCACTTTTGGATATGACCGTTGTATTTATAAAACAATATAATGACAAAGAGGATTAAGAGTTAGAAGTAGGTCTGGTTCTACAAACATGTCACACAAGCTGTTTCTCCCAGATCTTTACTAAGGAGATCTACGATGTACCATCATTTTGAACCTAAAATTCTAAAACTTCCTAACCTTCCATTTTCTCATCTGAAAATGTCAAAAATCTAGACTTACACCACCTACAGGATGATCAAGAGGCTTGAATGAAGACTGAACATGTCTTTAGTCCTAGCACTCAAGAGGCAGAGGAGGGCAGATCTCTGTGAGTTGAGGCCAGTCTATTGTACAAAAGAGTCCAGGCCAGCCAGGGCTACATAGTGAGACCCTGTCTCAAAAAAATGAACCAAACAACAGGCTTAAATGACAGCATATGTACAAATACATGCAAACTTGGCCTTATATAAGGGAGATTACTGTAATGGCAGGATCTGGCCCTAGTTTCTGAGGTAAATATCCTGGCTCAGCATCTCACCATGTATGAGCTACTTAATAAAAATGACAAAAGAGTCAAGTGTGGTGGTGTACACCTTTAATCCCAGCACTTGGAAGACAGAGAAGCAGGTGAATCTCTGTGCGTTCTAGGCCAGCCTGGTCTACATAGTGAGCTCCAGGTCAGCTGGGGCTACAGGGAGACCCTGCCTCAAAAAGACAAAAAAGAAAAAAAACAAAAAACAAAAAACAAAAACAAAACAGCAATAGCTGCCACTACATAGGCTTGTAAAAAGAGTAAATGGGGAGAAAAATGTAAGAAAGGCATGTACATAGGGGCTGGAGATATGGTTCAGTTGGTAGAGTGCTTGCCTAGCATGCATGAAGCCCTGGGTTCCATCCTCAGCACCAAATAAAACCAGGCTTGGGGGCACATGCCTGTTATTTCCAGAACTTGAGAGGTAAAGGCAAGAGGATCAGGATTTCGGGTCATCCTTAGCTACATATAAAGTTCCAGGTCAGCTTAGGCTACATGAGACCTTGTTATTACAAGTCATATGGTTCAAAAAATACTAGCAATTGTGGTTCTGAACATGAATCAGTATTGTACTAGACTTGCATTTCCCAAAAAGAATGGCCTATGTGCCTAGAGATAAGCTCTCTATCACACAAAAGTCAGGACTAGAGAGAGAGCTCAGTGGTTAAGA